CTCCCCCTCCCCCTTTTCCCTCAGTGTTTTAGTCATTCCAGCTGTGAAGGAGCCCTTAATATTGTTGGCATAGCTGCAAATTGTGCAAAACACACATTGGACACACAAGAAAACATGTTCAGGCATGCAGGGGCACAGTTAGGTGCACACAGATGCATGCATGCATACACATACATATGCACACTCCTCACTCTCTTCATTCATTTTGTTCCTTATCCCACTTTTGCTCACAATCTGCCTCAATCGTCTACATCTCCCATCTCTCCCCTCCCCTGTAACTCGCTGCGCTGCGGTGCGTTTGTGCCGTGCTGATAAGCCTAAGATAGCAGATCTCGGTGGTCGCTGATGTAATGATGATGAATGCTGCCGTGCTGGCAGTCTCCCCCCCCGGGGGGCCCTCGACACTGAACAGTCGTCCTAATGAAATGAACTCAAATTCAGCAGCTCGTCTATGAGGGAGGGGGTTGCCAAATTTAAGACGACACTTCAGGAGTTTATATTCAAATGTCCGTAGGTTTCTGACAGTATGTGTGTCAAAGAATTAAGTGTGTGAAGATGCGAGCTTTAAATAACTACAACAGTGATTAGTTTTTTTGATATCATTAGTACTTATTTAAGCTTGCATGAAAATAAAAAGACTTTTTTTTTCCAAAGGGAAAAGTTTATTTTTGTGTTTCACTTTGATGTCTACAATTTGCAGATGACTTTAAACCCTCTGCCTTTGTTACCAATGCGTATAATTTATGTTAAATTGATTTACTTAATGTGCTTAAAAGTAAGATTTTTCTTCTAAGGGAACAGCAGAAATTCTGGCGTTTAAACATGTTTAATCTTTTGCCTTTTCTGTGTGGAAAGATTACAGTTAAACACAAATAAAGATAAAACACCTTGTGTTTCTTTTCTCTCCGGCCTGGTCCACATGAAAATTTTGTTTCCTTAAGTAATCTTTTCATATATATACATTTTCCATTTTTACCAAAGTTCTTAAAAAATTTCCTTCTAATAATTCTCTCTTCCACCCAAAAGTCTATCCTAACACTGGAAGAATGAAGAAGAAGGAGAGCACTGAATAATGGATTCTGTTATTGATTTTTGTTACCAGGAAATCAATTTCCAGAAAAAATCGTCTCTAATATGCTACTAAAAAAAAATTAAAAACTAATAAACAAATTGAAATGAAGCATATTTTTTTTCTGAGTAGTGATTGGTCAGTTCTGGTCTCGAGGAAATATGCAGTTTCAAAGTCCAAGCTTCATGGGCATTGTAATTTTTGCAGCTATATTATTTTCCTGCAGTTTAGACTTTAAAACTGTATGTGATAATGTATAGAGTTCTTTCCTTTAATATACACATTAAAGGAAAGAACCCTTTAATGTGTAAGTAAACCCTAAACCACTCTAACAAGTTTCCTGGACACGCACACAGAACATGCCAGACTTTTTAGGTGAGAGAGAAAGCTGTAATTTTTTTAATGCCTTAAAAGTACCCTTAAGAAGTTTTGCATTTTTTTTTTAAAGTAAAACAAACTAGCTCTGGAAGTGATATATAAAACTGCCCTTAGCTCAAAGTCATAGTGGAGGATGTTCTTTTTCCGGGTGGATCATGAAAATAAGTGGTCCCCCTAATTGTCAATCATTCTGGTGATATGTTTACGTAAGGCCGTCCTACCTGCTCATCCCCATTTTTATTTACCAGGGGTGAGTCTGAAATAGTGAAAAAATTGCAAATCTTCTTTTGGAACAACTTTTAAAGAGCAACTTTTAAACAGAGTGTGCATGAGGAGAAATGGGTTTGTGCATGCTCTTGCACACGTTTAATAGGCGTTTCCTCTCAGGAGCGGGTACAGGGTTGTGCATGTGCTTTTTTTTTTCAAAGTGGAGAGGGTGGGTCTTTTCAAAAATCCCCCACTATACCTTTAATTTAGGAATTAACATTCACGAGTGCCTGCATATGGCCTGGTGTCTATCCCCTATAAATTCTAGACTTATTTGTTTTCCTGAACGCTGACAAACATCAAGAAATTTTACATAATCCATGACAGAACTGAACTCGCCAAATGTTGTCAGCCAGTATCTTACCCTCTTTTTAAACGGCGCCTTAGGGCAGTCATTCATCCTAGCTGAGATTGTAACAATTCTTGAAGATCTGGCAGACCTATCTTGGTTCGCTTGGTAAGACCTTTACTTTGCTAAGTTGAACAGACATGAGGAAGTTGATAGAAGCTCCTATTTGATAATGCGTTGGGCAAAACTTTCTGCTTGAATTTCTTTGTAAGAGTGAGAAGAAATGTCCAGCGACTAACAGCAGGTGAATAACACATTACATCTGCTTTGTGATCAGAAACAAAATATCAGATTTTTGAGCTTCGTGTCATCTGATCGTATGGTTAAATTGAACATTTTAGCAGCAAACTAACAGTTTTTTATGCCTTTTGTTATATTACTGGGGCATTAATGGTAATAGAAGCAGCGTTTAAGTAAAACCCATACCTCTAAATCATGCAGACTTTGTTTTTCTTTCACCATAGTGGAACTCTCTCTAAAGTGTTTAATCAGGTTCACAGGTGGAGGAGACATTGAGCTGGTAAATTTAAGTAAGCTTTCCAGGAAAGCCAAGAAACAAAACAGACAAAAATGAGCAGCACATCAGGCGAAAGCGGAGACGGGAACATCTGCAGAATTGGGTGTGGGCATCCAGGTCAGAGGGATTATGGGTGAAAAGGTCCCACTTTTAATTGCTGCTCTCGAACTGTGGCCTGCCTCGCGGAGCACAAAAGGCCCGTCAGACACGCTTCAGTTGCTTGGACTTCTGAATGTTTGGCCAACCAGAGGAATGCCCTGCTTATGCCTGAACCCCCCCCCACTTCACTTCAATCCCCAATCCTGACCGTTGTATTTACCAATCTATTATTTTTTCAGTGTCCACCACTTACTTGGGACACATACCAAGAAGTGAACTGAGATGATATCTGAGCATGCCGAAGAACAAATGTCTCCAGTTCGGGGACGGCTCCTACACATGTATGCATGCGGGAGCGATTAGAGGACAAGCCCTCGTTTAATTCTGTTTTGATTGGTAGTGGTGTAATTGCGTTGTGTTATTTTTTTCCCTCCTCTTTTTCTCCCTCTCTTTTGTAAGCAATTGCTTACAGATGTTGTTTTCGGGTCAGAACGGATGACAGACTGTGGTTTTTCAGGGGGTTGGGAAGAAACAAACAAAGCTCACAGTGTTTGTCTGAAGTTTACCCCTCAACACTTCCCCCTTTGCCTCCCTTCCTTTGGGAGTTGGAAAGAAATCACCGCCCCCTACTTCTTTTAGGCTCACCCGTGCTGTTCTTTTTGCATTCTACCTAAGTTTACTACCTTTTTATGCCAACATGTTTATGGAGTGCAGGGAAAAATAAATAGTAGAGGGGGATAATTAGCTTGTCTTTATTGTAAAGAAAATGCTTGTTAGACTAAATATTTCCACCAGTTATGGAGTCTGTCCTCTACTTTGTGCTGTGTGTCCTGTACTTTGGCTAAATGAGTGGTTGGTTGTATCGCCATCCGTAATCACAGGACCTACATGACCTAGATAGATCTGAGCTTGTAGACAACCGCTGAGGTGCTGAACTGAGCAACATGTCTGCTAGACTTTTGGCTGAACCCCCTCTTAAACCCACAGACAGTATTAACTTGAACCACCTTTATTCTTTAAAAGAAAAATTGCCCGGCACCATGATATTCCCAATGGGGCCTTCAAACAAGCCTTGTTTTTTTTCAGGACTCTGAGTGTTTCTCTGTCTGTGGTATCCCCTAAAGGTTTCGCCTTTCTCTCTTTGGAAAGAGTGCTGAAGTGGGATTATCAGTGTATCCACAAGCTGCCTTTACATTTATTCGCAGATAGAAAACCTTGTCGGGCTCTCCTGCCTTGCTCTCTTTATTGAGCCATTGTTTTTTTTCTTTTCTTTTTTTTTTTATATAAAAGTCAGAGGTTCAGCTGAAAAATAAGAGGAGCGAAGATCTGTATATTTTACTAGGGTTGATCCAGAAGTAGATCAGAGTCAAACAGGTTAAAGTTAAAAGTTCACCATGTCTATGACTTTGGGTCTAAAGGAGAAATTATTTCAGCATTAATAGAATGCAAATGTTAAACTGACAAGAAGTTAAATGTCATATTTAAGTGGCAGATTTTTTTAGATAGCATTTCTAGCTCCCCTGGTGACCACTTTAAGATTCCATTTTTAATTAATCTTTTGTTTTCTTGGATATTAGATATGAGATGAAACACTTTTGTTATTACTACTCATCTTAATGGGAGAGACAACAGGACACTCCATGCAGAAATGTCAAATGTGTTGATTTATGACTTATGTCTTACCATTATAAAAGATAATATGTTGAGTTCCTTGAAATGACTCTGAGGGAGCCTTTCCACTAAACAGTTCATGTGTGTTTGCTGTAAAACAAAGAATGAGTGCGGAAATACATTCCTTACCCTCTGATAAGTATGGTAGAAGCTCTATGATGCTATGGGCCAGTTTCTCTATTAAACACCCTGTTCAGAGTTCACGTCGTCGGAAACTAATTGAAATACCATCAGATTAATTAGTAAAAAAATATTTGAGAATCTACCAGAAGACTGCTACTGTCAGGCCTTTAATGGCTACATGGCCCAGTTAACATAGACACACTTACCAGGACTCAGCAAATGGCCAAGCAGCAGCAGTGCAGAGCAAGAGGCCGTGCACAGAGTGTCTTCCATTTTCATCTAAAACAGCCTTGTCTCCTTTACACTTAGTCATGGCATTTGGTGCCACTTTACTCCTGAAGGTGCCTCTACATAGAGATAACATGTAAAAGGACTTACTTTATATTTGCTATTCACATTGGGTGTGAACTCACCTTACACATACGTCAAACATAGACTGTCAGGAATCATATCATTTCAGTTAATGCTTAAAAATACTCTCAAAGGGGATTTGTGCTAATTCATCCTGTTATATTCACCTTCCTCAGTTACGCTGTCTCCATGAGGTCCTGAGGAATGAGCAATTGCCATGGAAACCCAGTCCCAGGCCAGTTCAGCAGCTGAGAAGAAAAAGAGGGTGGAGACCATCGTGGCTACGAAGGGCTCGTCGGCACGCACTGACATCAGTGAGAAAGCTGTGGCTTCAAGCACCACCTCAAACGGTACATCTTGCCTCTAACCTCATACTGAAACTCATTTATAGTTTTTTGTCAGAATTAAGGGTTGCAGCTCACAAAAAAGTTTTATCCCACCAGTTGTTGAAAAAGAACTTAGTGGCAGCTTAGATTACTTTATACTGTTTTGAATCTGTTTGGGATTAGTGTTTATTTATTTTATTAATCGTTCCAAAATGACAATATTTGCTTATATTTTAAAGGTTTATTCATCTATGCAGATATGTTGCAGGATTACTCATGCAATGTTGTGTTTCCAACTCCAAACTTGGGTAATATTTGAACAGATATTACTGAACTATAGGCAGTGCTCGAGCATGGTTAACATGGTTGTTTTAGGGTTTTTATTTCATAATTTTATTTCTGTCTGAAAAGAAATAACTCATAACCAGTGCAGCAATTTGCAGATTTTTCAGCGATTTCTCATTCAAATCAGTTTATTTATATAGCACCAATTCCCAAGACATGTCAACTCAAGGCACTTTAAAGAGACAAATCAACCAGATCATACAGTCAGATTGGTTCAAATTTTCTCTCTATGGAAAACAAGCTCACTCATTGACTGGACAGCAATTCCTCACACCAAGCATGCTTATAGCGACAGTGTAGAGTAAAAACTCCCTTTTAACAGGAAGAAACCTCAAGCAGAACCAGACTCAAGGTGAGCGGCCATCTTCCAAGGCCGACTGGGGTTCAAGGAAACAGAAGTAGACATACAGAAAGAACCAGACATAAAAAAGGCAACTGTCAACCAGCTCCACAGGCAGCCCCGTCTAGAAAACACATAGCCAGGTAGACGAGCTCTGGGCCAGCTCCCATGTCAGAGGATGAAAGAGAGCACATACAGTTAGTCACAGTAAGAGAAACAGGACTACACTGAAAAAACATGCCAAGCTCCAACATCTATAGAAAAAGGCGTTGATGGCAGCAGCACAGCTGATATTTCTCTCCGGGATGGCCATTCTGACGAAGACTCTAGTGAAATTGAAAAGAAACACCTTCTCGGAAGTTACAATAACACTATGCCCGGCAGTACTTTCAATAACAAAGAAAAACAAAGAGTAAGAAATGTTATCGTTTAAAATAGCTGTATGAATGGGTCCATCCACACAAGAGACACTGCTAAACAGCAAGGTACTAAGCCAAAATAAATTTTTATGTTTTTATGATTAAGCAAAACAGCTCGGTTAGTAGCATTATTCAGAAAAGGAAAGGCATTTGCTTGGTAGGACTTCCTATGGTAAAGAGACAAGGAGAGGTACATTAAAACAGTAGTTCTGTCATTGTCACTATACAATAAAGAGACACTGATAAACAATTTTCAGTAGTGCATTTATACAGCAGCTCTGTCAATGTCATCTTTCAAGAAAGACAGACATCTAAAAATACTAGTGTTTTCAAAACAATGAGAGACCATCAAGTTAGGGGCAGCAATAGCTCTGTCAATGGCTTGTTTGAAAGGACCAAAAGTTAAACAGACAGAGCCAGGAGTATTGTGAGTGGAATAAATTACTGTCTTTTGAGAAACATTTTTTTCCAACATTTTTTTAAGTCTTTGACCTTAACCAGTTTAGCCTAACTCAATCACTGGTTGGTACAAAGTATCATATGCTCATTTATGTAATGACGAACACAAATACACCATCAAAGGACACGTGTAGATATATTTCTTTGTTTGGTTTTCATAGTTCTCGCACAACACTTGGTAGCAGCTTTGGTATGTTTGCACAGCAAAGTCTTCAACACATGCCATTAAAAGGGCACAAGCTTTATTAAGCCTGTCGTCATTCTGGCTTCATTTTAAAATCTTTGGCTGTAAAGTGAAGTATTAAATAGCAAATTTTGTGGAAAGCCGTAGAGGATCAAGCCAGAGTCATAACAATACCAGGGTTGAGATCACCACATCCTAAGCTGCAGCTGTGCTCATTAGTTGAGAGAGGATTTGGAAGGTTTTTGATATGGAGAACATGCTGCAGGAGTTGGAAATCGAGGCTTGACCGAGAGTTTTCTCACTTACTGGCGTCCACCCATGGATGTATGAGAGGGGGAAACAGCAATCCAGGAATGAGTAAATAAGTTGCTGTTTCTCTGCCTCCAGATGGGACTTATCACAGGAAGTGGGTAAGGTAATGCATCCTGAAGCATCCTGGGAACGCGTTCACTCTTACCCACTCCCAGATGGCCGGTGCTGTTTTATTCATTAACGGGACAGCATGGAAGAAAAGTTAGTTGTGGAAAAAGCATGGCTGCAATTTGGCTCCTTGATTGTAGATTTTTCTTAGTAATGTCCTTTTAATTATGGCTCCAAACGGCACACGGTTTGTCTCAAAAGCTCCAAGAAGGGAGTCTGCAGTATTGAATGATCCAGTGTCACTCCTTAAATGTACAGTAGTCCCCTAAAGCCTTTGCTGGGTAGAAAATCATACTTATCAGCAAAGAATTGTCCCTTTTTTAGATCTTAATCTTTGTCCAAAATCACAATATTGCTTACACATTCTTTGTGGGGTTATAATTACTGCACATTCCCAAATGAGACGCCCCCACCTCTTATCAGGTGAAACCCTACACTGGCCTCAACTTTAACCCTCGGATCCCCTACCCCGCTGCCTCCGTCCAAACAAAAGGTAATTGTAAGCATCTGTGGAACACTGGTGTCTAGTTTGAGTTTCCTCCCTGATCTCAGCCAAGAAGAGGCTCATTCACTGTGCCTGGCAGTACCAGAAGTTGCAAAACTTGGAAAATAACTGTAAAATAGGCAGGTTGGGGGATGGATTTTGATGCTTGGTATTTGGAATTGCTCCTAAGCAGATGTTACTTTTCTTGGATCAGTTCACTTTTCTTTGCTTTTCCCTGTTTTCTTTTACATTAATTCTTTTTTCAGGTTGAGTAATCATTGAGTTCTGAGACAGAGTTCCCACATGGTTGGATAAATAGTGGCTTCATCCTGTGTGCCAATCATCTCTACAGCCCCCCTCCTCCTCCTTCTCTATTGACAGCTCAAAGGAGCCGACCAGGCCACGACAGTGCTGTGATTGGGGCTCTTTAGGACATTTCTTTTTTTTTGGTAGGGGGAGAAACTCTCCCCTACAGTTCTCATCATTCAGCAAGCAGGTGGACCACAAATTCTGCCGACTCTTTGTTCAGTTCTGTAAATTGGCCAAATAATGTTTGACGTTGGGATATAGTTTATCGTTGTTATCATGTCAGTGTTACACAAACTGAGAGGGGAACGTTTTAAGCACAGATCCTTATAAACAATCTTGCAAGTATAAATGTTTTGTTAATTGATGATTTTAAGCTAATTCTGTTTTATATTTTGGAAGTATGAATACTTTCTGGCACTGGTGACCTTTTATATTCAGTTACCATAAATGAAGACGCCAAAAAGCAAGGGGGAAGAGACACGTAGGAAGGATCACTAGGTCTGGAATAAAACTCTGATTGCCTGAAAATACTAATATAGAGTAAAAAAAGACAAAAAAACAACAAATATTACTTCAACACCTAAAGAGTTGAATATAACGGTTTTAGATAACATTTGGTCCCACTCCAAATGAGTGTAAAATTTGCTCTACAGCTAGTGTCAGATCTTCAGAGTTAATTTTACTCATATTAGTGTCAAATTCTGTATAGTTGCAAATACTCCATTTAGAGTTAAATAGGTTGAATGTTAATTTTTAAGACCCAATTAGCTAATTAAACAGTTGTTAAGTTTCCTCTAATGCAAATTTAGAGCTTTAAATCCTATTATCAGAGATTTTAAAAGTTTGCCAATCTTTCTAACACATGTTCCATTACAGACAGATGTTGTGAGGGGTAGCCTTCCATCCCAGTTCAGCCTTCCCCTTATTCCCTTGGGCTCTTTCACTTTCTTTTGGACCAAATATAATGCAGAGGAAAGGGTGCTAGAGGTTCTTTACATCGGGTTTGTTGTCTGCCACAGTCTCCATAGTCCTCTTATTTTGTTCTGAAACTTTTAAAAAATGTATTCGATAAATAGCTAACTTTCATTTTTGTTTCAGTAACATCATCCACACGGAAGAGCTTTGTTGTCAGGGTACCATGGTAATAATATGGTAGTTTCACTGACTGGTCAGATATTTGATCAAAGCTTTTATTGCAGATGCAAACTGGAAGCACTTAATCATTATTTTTGATCAGTTCAGACTTCAGGAAAGATCAAGCTCTAATACTTTCCCCAGCTGCTTCATTTCTAAGTTTAAGTTTATTTCAGTTTTATTGTTTTTTGTGTGCTAAAAAATAGCAAGGCGAAGAATCTCAGACGCAAACATATTAGCTTCTGAGGTGCATCTTGTTTAGGGCCTTATGTTACTATAGAAATCCCTAAGCAAATACATAGCATGGCTAAAGTGTTTAAGGGGGGAAAAAGAAGCACATGAATACATTGAAAAAAATCTCTTCAAAAGAGGTACAAGGAGGGGAGGGAAAGGGGGTTAGATAGAGGAAGGCCGAGGGCCCACCGTCCTTTTAGGCAGCCATTTAAATGATCAACAGTAAATAGAGGGGAATGTCATCTGACAGAAATAAAGTTCCCGTTAACAGCGGGGATGGAAAGTAATTTACAGATACGCTGTCCCCGCCATCTTTGTGCCTCCCAGATAAGGTTTCATTTCAGAAACGGATAGGAGACATTTTCACTTACGGGCCCCCATTCTGGGACACCTGTGATAACAGCTTGTGGACCCCTAATTGAAAATGGGTTTCAAAATGGATTTTCACTTTTCTTCCTCCTTCCTCTCCCCCTTCCCATCCATTCCCTCCCTCCCTTTCTCATGACTAACTTCCCCCTCTCTGCTCCCTTTACCTTCTATTTTCCCCCCTTGCGTTCTCTTGTTGTTGGCTGCATTGAGAGGACAGTGAGGGAGGGAGCGGGGAGGCAGGTTGAGGGGGGTTCAAATGAAGCTTTGGGAACAGATCATCCCTCAGCCTGTGTCATGGTGATGACAGCCCCATGATCCGTCTTATTA